AGGCACCTCGAACTTTTGCGATACAGCTGTCACTTTATCTTCTGCTCCAAAGAGGATTGAATTTCTGACCGACTTTTAGCTTATCCCCACCAACGGGTTGCAGGAGAGTTTTGCATTTCGAGGATGCAAAGCAAATTCCGCATTGGTTGACAGTCATGGTTAATTTGTTCAGTACTACTTGTCACGATCTTGTGATGTCACGTATTAGGGCAATATCGTCGATCATGTGGAAGTAGTTCCACACCTAAGTCGTGTGCAGTTGTCCCAGTTTCCATGACTTAGTCAGTTTCGAAATTAAAAAGGACAAGTGACAGCCAGCATTCTTGTCTCACGCCACTGAGAATATTGAACAGCCTCGACAGTTTGCCACAAGTTCGCACCCAAAGTATGCGTATAAAACGCTCTGACGTGTACATCATTTTCGAGCACATTATTTCTGATCCCGATCCGGCGAATCAGAGGCACCTTTGAGGTCCAGTGTCAGTCAACAGTATAAGTGACGAAGCTCCAATAACTGATGCAAAGTAAATGTGTGATTAATGCAGTCTTGATTTCGACGAAATTCATCTTGTTCCTCGCGAATTTGCTTTTTACTGCTACCAGTCAGTTTATGAAAAACGATATAGGAGACACTGAGTGAACGGAGATAATGCTAACGCGACCCTTTACCGAGATAGTGACAGCCCAGATACGCCACGGATGGCTTAGATTCACAAATGCTGATAGCACTTTAGCGATTTGGAGCGAAACGTTTTCTCCGATAGTAGACACATGGCTCCCAAACTAAACTACACCATCTACATGTTTGAGTTGTTTTCTTTCAAACCTAGGTACATAACGCGCTTAGCTAATGAAACGGTAAAATTCGTTTTGTTTAGCATTTGACTCGTCGAATCGATGCAAATTAAGCTTTGAGCACCAGTGTGGATGAACTTTCGTCATTTGCACTCACGTCATTGGTACAGAACCGTAGCAAGGAATGTGTGCGGTTGTCACCCGAGTTGACGACTGCGCATCACAGCGATACTTGCCGTTTAGTCGCCAGGTAAATGATAAAATAAGACAGGATTGCGATGCGACGATATGTGAGAAAGTAATGCTTCGAATTTTTTGCAACGGGATCTACGGAAGCTGTTTCGATGGGGCGTTACGTATGAGGTTGGCTAGGTCATTTGACACATTTTAACTGACAAGTGCACGTATCGATGTGCTTATTACCAACAAAATTGCATCACCCCTAATCTCTGCATCTTGAGACATTCTTCGTCGATGTCATAACAGAGTCGTCGTTGGGAGGCGAACGAGAACAAATATGTGAAGAGCCGCACAATGAACGGAAGCGAGTGCATGCGACCCTGAAAATCAAGCTACGAAAGCCAATGGGCTAAAGAAGCCAGCCCAGTTGCTTTCCTCGGATCCCAAGTGGCCCGAGGATCGCATTGATGATGTCGCTTACATGGCTACGAAGCGCTTTCGGCCCTCGTCTGCACTTCTAGCTACAAATATTCCCCATGCTTAAAATTCATTTTTGTCCGAGTGAAATAGAAGATGGCTTTTTGATTTTACGAATGGTCCCACATCGGTACGTACTCCTAGCATGGCGAGGCTCTCGATGGTGCTAGGTGTGATGGATGTGCTCTAGTCGCTCACGATCGTAAAAAAGGAGTAATTCAGATGAACTTAACTATTCATAACGGATCGAACAAGCATTTCGAAGTATTATGAGCAACGGATCGACATGAGGGCCACACCACAAATTAAGCATCTGTGCACATACGGTAGCGGCTAAGGGAGACTGCGATTCACCTGACACGTAGCTGTGATTTTCAATGTCCGTTCTCCTCGATGAATATGCGCCCCCTTTATATCTTGTGGTGCATGTGCCGAGAAGTTGGGATCATAGACCCGCAGGTTTGCACTCCTCGTGACGCGGTCGACTTCGTAACGGCACTTTTGAGCGTGTTCTTACGCTTTTTGACTGCGTAATTAAACTGAAAACGTCTTCCAGCTAACCGCTGGCTCTGCTGTTCGTCACATACTCAGTTACTCTAACTGCCATGCTCCGCGCTTAAGATAACTAACCGATTTGGAATCATGAACAGAGACATCATATGCTTCTTAGCTAATTTTAATCTCTTTCCCACTGTGTCTTATCCTCATCGACTAAATATTGATTCCGTCGTATTCCGTCTATCTAAGCTGGTCGACCCGCATGGGATCTTCGTTCGCTGCTCTGCGTTCAACTCACACCTGTCTTATCTGGGTTGTTCGTTGCGTTTCGTGCGTGCTAGGACAGAGCAGTCGTGGACTATCCATCTGGTCTACGTCGACCTTGCTTACCAGGTATTTGGCCAGGATCCATCGCGCCCCGCGTTATCAGCATAGGTGCTTTGGTGCGTAGTTACTTCACCGAAGCACGCTGTGCTTCGTATGGAAATTTGGTGTTGCCCACTCGACAACACTGCACTTCACTACGCCTTTCGATCCTTTTTGACCTTATCAGTTGGGCATGTAGCGATTTTAATTGGGACATCTGCACCTTTAGCCACCAGATTGCGCGTCGCAATCCAACCAGCACTTCATAAAGACCCCCCACTCACTTTGGGCTCCATTCATGCTGGGTTTATCCAGTTTTGCACTGGGCAGTGGGAATAAGTGGAGTTCTAACTCTACAGTCTACTTCCATCTATCATGGTAGTTTCTCTGCTTCCAATCTTCCTTTCACTCCCTTAATAATATTCGCCATTTTTGGTCACATTCCACATAACACAAATCGCGCGTTGTTATGTGAGGCTTTAAAAATTCCTTGGAACATGCTAGTATGAGTGACATTTTGCCGTACCTTATTTAAGGAGAAGGGCAATGAAGTCCCATGAAGCATCACAAATTATGTGGTCATCACTATAAACTGATATTCCGGTGAAATAACCATGTTTGAGTGCCTGTTTGATGCTCGCGACCTGTTCAACAGTGATCGAGGTCGGATCATGCCTACGTGACCGGTGTATGTGATTACTGTTGCGCATGACCTGACCTTTTCATACAACACAGTTCACGTGCTTGAAAAACCGTGCTCATTGTCAGGTGGCGCGACCAGGGATTACCCCGAAGATTTTCGCTGTTACTCAGTAATTTTCGCGATAAGAAAACGCGTGTTTGATAGTGCACACATGTGGTGGTCTGTCACACAAAGCGGAGTCATTGATAGCATAGCCCCGTTGGTTCGGTCTGCCCACGATTTTTGATGTCAGTAAATGTATGGAATGCGATGAGATACTTATATGGTTGGGAGACGAGTATACCACTCCAAGCACAACTAAAAGTCTACCTGAGAATGGACGATTCTTAAAATTCATTTATGACCAGGAAGTTATCAGCATGTCACTCGTGTTAACATTGATGGATGTCTGTTTGCTGAATATATTTCGCTGTTGTTAACAAACTGTGATCTCCATCGACATGAAAGATCGTGTCTACCGAGTCGTATTGAGATCTGTTCGCCTCATGTGGAGTATGATGTTGCCCTTTAAGAATCTAACGTGCTTGAGTCTGACGGTACAACTTTGTCTACAATGATGTGGTGTATGAGTTGATTACAACTGGGTTATCTCGTTAGGTCAACAATTAAAACTGGGAACGTTGAGTTGGCTCGTGTGTGTGGTGTGTGTGTGTGCTGCGTACACACTTTGGCCGTTTGCGGTGAAACCCTTAGTTTTCCTCACCGAGCCTACAATGGTGCAATGAGGGAACGTGTAGGGCAACGAGCAACGAACCAGTTCAATGACAATAAGATTTTCGTTGCTTTTTGGAGTCAAGGTTATCCACCAATCAACAGTGACAATTCGCAGAAAGCTCTTCGGAGTGCAAGATATACTTAGCAACTAAGAGACAATTATGTCGTCTACAAGATTTGCTGCCGAAACTATGCTAAATACCACGTGGGACAGACAGGAAGAAAGCTTAGCACAGGGCTACATGAACACAGCCTTTCGTCACCACGAGCATATGGCTGCTGAAAACCACCAATTCCATAGGAAGGATGTCAAAATCTTCGGAAGAGCAAGAAGCCGGCAAGCAGGTGAGTTCGTTGAAGCGTGGCATTCAAGGCATAACTCGAATTTGCTTGCGAGGCTTTGCGAACTAGGCATTTGAAGCCACACCGACAATGTTGCTTACTCTAGCAGCAGAACATCTGTAAACTGATCATTCAGCTCGAAGAACAATGAAAAATCCACAGTGTATTTGCTTTTCCTCAGGTGGCACTTTGTCTTCATCCCCCAGGCAGTTATTTGTGGTTGTACTTTGTAGTCACCTTAACCTGGGGCGGTTGCTAAGATACTTCTTAATGCTCTTGTGGTGTGTTGCATCTCTTCTCCACCTGTCCTTTGGATCACCTATCCTAATTCGCACAGGTAGGTTCCCAAACACCAGCGAAAAGTACCGGTGTGTTGGTGTACGCCTCTGTCTCATTCTTTTTAAGTAGTGGAAAAACAACCGCGAGCGGGATTTGGTTTAGTCGCCGTAGCAGTAACTTAGGTTTGTGTTCTAGGGGCCTCCGTATCGCATTTAATGGGATCCTGGAGTTCGCTTTAATCTGACTCATCAATCTCACTGGCCCCGTTCTTAAGTGCACTGACCTAAATCTAACCATAGTTCATGGCTTGCAAAGTGAATCCACAACTTGGGTTGGGGAGGACTGTCGCTCATGCAGAAGGTCTGATGCATGTGTCGGACTTGTTCAAATGCATTAGTTGATGGCTCTTGTTCGGCCCATACAGACACCTTCTGCTGCACCACACCTGGACTAGCATACCGCAAAACTGAACTATTTTTTTTCTACCTCATAGGACAGTTAGTTTGCGACACTTCTACACATTTTCTGCCGTACCCCATTCCCGCGATTCATATCCTGACCCATCAGAGTTGCTTACATCGCGATATTCTGTCGTTTCATCCAACCGCTTTTCTCTCTACTTTGCTATCCCCTAACGGAAAACTAGTTGGCAAACCCTGGCTGGACCACCATGTCAACCCTGCAGCGTCGCCACTCGCTTCTCGCATGGATAATCACGATGAGCTTCGAACTGCTGCGTTACCTGATCGCCCTTCTGGAATGGATAGTGGCCTTTGTCCCCTACCAACACTGAGTGGCGCTCAGTGCAATGTTGATTCTTTTAGTCGGATCACTCCCACCGTCTCGGGTAATGGGACCACTACTGGTGAGGATGTCGCTGGCCTGAAACTTCGCCTTGCTCGAGCTTGGCAGCGCAAAGCTGAGCGGATGAACTTAGAACTCACCACACGTGTCATGGCGATCGTTTTCACGGAATGCCCTGCCGCACTGAATCTCCAGCTGGAGGGCATTGGATGGGGGTTGCAACTTCTGAATGGTCCGACGGACAGTGCAATGCCGTCGCTTTTTCGTCCTTCCATCTTGCACGACCTTATTCCTAACCGAGTGTCGAAATTTAGAAAATGGTTAATTCAGGCAAGTACCATGTGCTTCGCGCCTGTTGTGTTTGTATGTTCCCTGACTAGTCGCAGTGTTTGTTGACTCAGTGAATAATCCTTGTTGCAGTGACCCCGTATTTTTCTAGCCTTTATGACATCGAGAGTTCAGTAGTGCTTACCGCACTGTTTTAACAGTTAACACAATTTTTGTATTATTGGTTGTGAACGACATCGACCCAGAGAATGAATGAACCTCATCCACACGTCTTTTGTATATTAATTTGAGGAAATTGTGCTTGCGAGTGTATTGTATGAGTCAGGTGATGTTCCAGTTTGTTCTGAGCACCGGCTCAGGAACACTCCCAGTTAACGAGACAACATACAGGAAAGCTTGCTAGCTGATTTATTCTCCGCTGCGCAGGCTTGGCACTCCAATGGCTCACTTCAAAAAAAACGATTTTACAAGACCGCTATCTTACTGTCGTATGGCAACTTATTTGAGTACAGGTAAGATCCTTTTCCCTTGAACCTGAACCCTGACTGTACTAGGATTCTGACGAACTGCTTTTTAGCTGTTTTGCCCAACGTCACCTGATGCACTGAAAAGATACTGTGAGGTTAACAATTGTCGAACATCATGTCATCTTTAAAAGAAGTTAGCACGTTATGCAGAGGGCCTCAGCTTCTCACGGACTTCGTGTTGTAGCGGCCTGGCTGATCTCTACGCTGGTGCTGGTCTCCTTGACCTCTTGCTTGCGCCCCCTCCCCGCCGTCCTCGTACATACAGAGATGTTCCAACATGGGGCCGCACTTGTTGGTCACTTACCATTCCTCCGTTTGTCCATCACCTGTCGTTGCAGTGCATACCAGAGGATCCATTAACTGAAATTGAATAGGGGCCTATGAGAGATTGTGTACTGAGTTTCCTTCTTCAGGTCATCTGCTGTCATATTTCCCATTATCTATGTAGCTTCTAACCTATGTGATCACTAATCCTCTATCATTTGTTTCTGCTTAAGTGAAAATTCGCCTGCTTGACTTTGGTTACATGCAGTTAGACCCTATTGCTCCCTCATAGGTTAACAGAAGATATGAGCCTCTCTCTAACTGCATGCGCGATGTTGCTGCGGGGCTTGACCGACACGCCACCAGCTTCCACTGGTACCAATAACCATTAGTCTGTCCGTCCACTGCCCTTAAGCTGTCAATCCCCTGCAGGGGTGCTCGTTCGTACGACTGCTATGGCACTTCTCAATTCTCCAGGCGTCTGCGTACACATGTTGAGGCAAGGTATGCGGCGCTGCTGAGCGGCCAGTGTTACCGTGTGTATCAGTGACATTGTCGCCCCGCGGTGAGCACACCTCAGCATCTGAAGGGTTTGTGGTATATGATTGGGAGGTCCGTTAACACCACTACTCTGATAATGCTCTTTTGCTGAACCGAACTAAATGCTCAGAATTACTTTGGTCAAATGCAGTCAGGTGAGTTATTACGAAACGTCAGTTGCTGCTTAACATCTTAGGTGAACTTCTGATGAGAGCGTCGCGGACGTTCCACGTTTGTTGCGAACCATCCCTTCATTTCGGTGTTGCTTGGTTCAAGCGCCAGCGTGTTAATGAAAATCGACAATGGTGGGGGGAAGTTAGAAAGAATCCGTCCAGAAAAGGGTTAGATGAAGCTCAGAATCGTCTCATGATCAATATAGTTTCTTACTGCCACTACAGCCGATTTCTTTGCCACAGATGAATATTCCATCCCACTGCCAGTGACCTTCTTGTTCTTTTGTTGTGTCGTTACCTGGCCACTGGAGTTTTATTCAGCCGTGAGTGAAACGTCGGTCAGGTACTTGATCGGCTAGTACACCAATTGACTTGCCTAGTCATCGTTGGTGGTCCCATCACAAAGGATGTGTCACCAAGCAGTGACCAGCTGATGTCAGAATTACTCATAGTGTTAACGCAGTCTATGGACAATACACAAACACACACACACCACACCTATAATGTCCCCAGTGAACAGCAGCCATTCGGTAACAATGGTCGCACTACACTGCTGCATGCCCTGCTTCTACTCATAATCTACTTTCTCTTTGGCTGTTTACAAGGATCTAGAAACTTGGGTGTTGGTGTGCAGTGCTTTCGGGCGGGCAACACCGAAAGTGTATTTGCTTCGACCACGGTCCCATTGGTTGCATTGAGCAAGGTTCACTTCAGTGTGAATCTCGGTCTACATCGAGATTGCTCGTGACAATCCAATCACTCGACGAGTACTTCAAGATGACCCTTCAAACAGTCCTTAACCTTTGTACTACGTGTTGCCCGACGTGACCCGGTGACTAAAGGGTATACGTCCCAATCAACATCCCATTACTTTCGAGTTCGCTGCATGTTATGTCTACCTGATGAAATCAAATGATGTCGAAACACGTCATGGAGCGCATTGTTTTCGTGCGAGCAATACCCAGTCTTCGTCCATCAAGAATATTCATTGCTCTTTTACAGATCTCTTGTACTTATTTGTTTCCTTAATTTTTGTCTACTTCATCGACTTCTGCTTATCCGTAGTTCTGCAGTTCAGGTGCTTTACTTTCAGCTTCTACGCCCTGTCTTTGAAATTCCTCATTTTCCCGATTTGAGCTATGCACCAGCTTGTATACAGTCGCCCTCGGTTGCATGATATCCGAGTAACATTGCAAAATACTACTAGTTGATTGCTGCTTACAAGTGACGTTTCATATGGCATTTGGTAATCGAATGCTTATCGACAAACTGACCACCAGTGGAATCGTATCCCTCCTATGGCGATAAATATGTAGTCCAGTTTCGACGGGCGTTTACTTCCTTCCTTGAAGGCACTGAAATGGCTTGTTTGCAAATTTCACTAAGGGCCTCGACCGTTACAGTTTGTTCTCTGTATCA